GTTTATACCAAAAAAAGAGTAAATTTAGTAAGGAGTGTGACATATTACATGAATTGTAAAACTATTTATCAATGAATAAACTAAAAACATTTATGTACAACATTTTCATACCTATAGTACGTTATGACAGGAATATTTCTTCAAGTCTTTAGAAAATTTTTCTCTTAATCAAAAAGTACCATTAAAACTAGACCTAAGTGATTTAATCAATTAGCTAAGAGCAGTAATTATATTGATTAATGTCCCATAAACTAATCAATTAATTGAAATTATGATTAATCGATTAATGTCCCCAAAACAATCAGCTAATCAAAATTAGTGTTTTTAATTATTCTAACAATTGATTAATCAAAATTACAATTAAATTGATTGTCAAGAAAATAAACAACTAAAGTGGGGTTTTCGGCTATTCTGAATATCCAAGTAATCAAAATACTGTCATTATATTTGAACCTACTTGTTTTTTTTAGAATTTTTCTGCCCATCCCAAGGAATAATGTTATCTTTACTAAGAACTTATCACTTCTTGAGAATATATTATCCGTTACTTGATTTTTCAGCATTTCCTTTATTTTCTGTACAGGCCTTAGTTGAAACCTTGCTATAGTGCCACATCAAGTGGTTTAATTATTTACTAATAAAACATAGCTTTGAAAACAGCTATAAAGGAAGGTTAAATACAATTGGATAGAGCAATAATTAGACTATCACATATTATTTGAGTAAATATATAGATCTAAAAGTTGTTGTTTTTTCCTTGCATTGTGAATTGTGAAAGTGTTTGTGTGTTAAATTATACTTGTTTGAAAGCTACAAAAGTTGTCTTCAATGAAACGACTCAGATGGAATGTTTTAAATAGAAACATTATTACCCTTATCATGAGAGTAAAACATGTTTTCATTATTTAATTATCAACTTATTTGATCTACAGAAGATTAGTTTGAGATTAATGGATATGGCAATCGTGTGGTGGTATTTAGTCTAATATTAACGATTCAGCCAAGCAGGAAATGCCCATAAAACTTGTGGGAAAAAATGTTTTTGACAAAAAATATTTTTTTCACAAATATGCAAATAGCCACTTTCAGAGGAGGTCAATCATATGAAGTCAAGGATGATTAAAAAATTATTTAAAAAACAAAACAATGCAAAAGAAAATAAGATAATTAATACCATATTAGAATAATGCAGTGATTGAAAAAATGAAAACAGTAAACACATACACATTTTTTTTTTCCTTATACAAGTTGTAAGGAAGCATGGTGTAAAAATCGATTAATCAGCCCATCAATTATTCAATTAGCAAATATCAAAGAATAAATAAGATCTCTTACATGTTCCAGCTAAATCCTCTCAACATAGTTTCCTGGGAAAGTCCCTAATAGCCCTGTCCTAACACAAGTCCCCACATACCATCCATCATTACACTTTTCCATTACATAAACTATGTCTCCCTCTTGAAGTTCCAGTTCATCTTCATTTTGTGGTCTGTATGAGTACAGAACTCTGTATCTGAAATAAAAGTTTATAATATCCCATCTATTAATAATATAATGTACTTTAAAGATAAGTTACTAAATATTACTATTTTGATCACATAATGATACTTAACAAAGGAAAGAATTCAAATAGTTACTAACCTTCCTCATTTCAATCAAACACTTAAAGTTTATGGGTACACCTTTAGTTTCTGTAGAATTTGAAGAACACCAGGATTAAACTTTAAACATACCTTAAAAAGAACATACTCTCACATGAGAATTGATATATTAAGATATACAAGTTTAAAATCAGATTCAGAAAGAAATTCAAGGTGTGCTATATTATTATTTTTTGTGTTTGTAGACCTTAAAATAATTTCAGAAGAGAATGTATAAATTGATCATTTGTAAAAGATCTTGTATACTAACTAACTACAGGTATGCAACAAGCTAAGAACTTAAATAATTCACAACACAATAAAAATAAACAACTATTTCAACAGATCCTTTTCAATGGTTTTCAATATGAAAAATATCTTAATTAATCTTTAACTTGTTTACTACATTCATAAATAATGAACAAAGAAAATAAATGTTAAATTTATTGAAGGATTTATAACATCAAATCTCCAAACCTTTGAAAAATTATACTTAATGTCATGATTGTGTTTTTATGTGCAAAGCTACACAATGATCTATCCACTGTTTAGAATCAAACCCAGATTTTAGCAATATAAATCTGGAAACTTACCACTGATTAACAGAAAAGAAATACTTAATGTGATAAGAAACTGACAACAGTATAAAAAAATAAACATGTAACATTTTGATATTATAGATTTTAAGCTTTTCACTAGCAATAAAACAATGCCAGCTGACAGGCTTGAAAAACAGATGTTATGCAAATTTACATCTACTTAAGATTAAAGTAGATGACATCCATGTATCAACAACTGAAATATTGTAATCGGAAAACAATGTTAACAAGTAAGGAAGGTATTACTCCTAACATATTAAACTAAGCAAAATAAATATAATACAGTAAAATCAGATCTAGAATGTTTTCAGCTTTCAAGCAAAAAGCTGAATGTATTCACAACATTTTGGCCATTTGTCTACATCAAGCAGTTACCCATTGTTGATTATAGCCAAAACATTATGAATAAACTCAGTATTTTCCTTGGTTTTACCGTACTTTATTTTTTTGTTTTATTTAACAACATGCGTAAACACACTTAGAAGGGCTTAAAAGACTTAAACAGTTATTATTTCTAACTTTTATATGACTAAGGTAGCTAAAAATCTGAAAAGAAAAATATAAGAACTTTATGTTTTTTTATTTAATTATACTTTTTGGAAGGGAGAATTTTACACAAAAGTATAAAAAACACACGTACGATTAAGACAACCATAATGCTTACATGAAAAAATAGCACAAGCTTTAGGTACTCACAGTTCTTTTCTAACTTCATTAACCCTCCTTGTCTGTTTTAAGTCTCTTGAGACCTTGAAAATACATATGATTAGAAAAGAGCTTGTGAAAAGACTGACATACATAAAAGACTTTTAATTTGCTAAATTTTCTGATGACAGATGTTTAAATTGTACTAACACAAACACATTAAAGGATTAACATTATATGCTTTTCATATACTCATGATTTACACTATATCAAACAAACAAAGTACTAAGTTTGTCTAGTAAATACTGGTTCAGAGAAACATATCTCTTAAGTATGGTTGTACCAACAGAAAGAAACGGGTCTGTGTTGTAAATATTGATGAAAAAAAAACCTTTTTTTATATACAGTGATAGAAATAAATAAATCTGTGTTACAAACAGCAAAAAAAGTTTCTTGTATAAACAAACAAAAAACAAGTGCTGTAAATATTGATACAAAGAAACACACACCTGTGTTGAAAATACTAATTCAAAGTTGCATATCTATGTTGTACATACTGATAAAAAGAATGACACATGTAAAGTACCTTACGCATACAAAATATTTTAAATGTTGTACTTCTAACACAAAATACGTGTTTTTAAAATCATGCATCCACACATTTTACAAGTTTTCTAAATGTAGGTTTAAGAAATAATAACAACTTGAGCTTAAGAAATCTATCTTCTAGAACTACCAAAAGTTCAAAGATAAAGCAGAATTGTGACTGGCCAGGAGAGAAGTTAATACCTTGTGAAGGTAGCACATCACTATTTATCCAAATGTACATTATCACATATCTGAAGAAGTTATTTCATAAAATTCATTAAAAAACTTAAAATGTATCAAATAAAAATAAATTTGTAAGGCTTGACTAACTTACCAGCATAGGATAATGACTTTCTGAGGATCGTTGACGATCTTGTGATTGTTGGTTTTTATTGTAAGCTGGCGCCTTGTCCAAACTATGAGTTCCATTTGTAATTGGACCACTAGAACTAAGGAAAATTATGCTTTAATTCTGCTAGAAGTGTCTCATATATGGACTTAATAGGATGGGATCTTGTGAGAAGTGAGTTCAAATTGTAAGTGCACCACTAGAGCTAATAAAAATTAAGCTTTACTTCTGTTGGCATTGTTTCTTATGTGAACTTTATTTGCTGGTATCTTGTCAGAACCGTGAGTTGCAGTAGAACTACTAGAATTTAAATTGGAGACTAGTGGCATTGTTTGTTATATGGACTTTTTCGATGATGAGATATAATCTTAGAACTAAAAGCAGCAACAGCAGAATTTACTAAGAAATAAAATTGCCACATAAAATACATACTGTAAGATGGTAATTATTACTATTTTTCATATTTAAGGATCCTTTGTTATGTTGTGGAGTTGAGCTCTCTCTTACGTTTTTATGCATGATGCCAATTCATACCTGTTAAGTGTTAACTAGCATTTACTCTCACACTGAGACAACAGCAACTATAGTCATAAAAATAATATAGTTGTTATATGTATATAAATGTTGCTATGACTGTATGCCAATCAGTCTGTCACTCTATGTATCTGGTAGCAAGTACAAGTACGTGTACAAAAAAAAGAGAGAGAATTGAAGACTGCAAAAGCCAGATGCTTGAGAACATGGAGTTTTAAACTCAATATTGCTTGAAACTCAGTTATATGTGTTTTGAGTTATAATTAATTAAAGTTTCTAAGTTTTGTATGATTAAGCAGATTTTATGATAACATAAGAAGTTTTTTTTTATTATTTCTTGTTCTGTTTCTTAACTTCTTGTGACAAAGTTATATGTTGACTGAGAGCTTTGGAGTTGTGCAGTTTTTAAAAGTCTGGGCCCAGCATTTTACAACTGGGAATTCTGTTTAACTTGTGAAATTTCTAACAAATGCTCTATTTGATAAAAATTCTAGTATTAACATTTCAACTACTCTTAATGTAGAATAAAATATTCATTACAAAGCATATCCTAAGTCCACTCCAAAAGATTTGCTTTTATTGCCTTAACCAAATGTGTTTTCACTTTTCTGGATCTGGTTTATTATTTATACCTGTTAACTACAACTGAGTACTAAAAACATAATAAGTTACAACTGAGTATTAAGAAAACAATAAGTAGGTAAAACATGTTTAACATCCAAATTATTAACTCACTTTAGTTGAACTAGAATAACTTTCAAAATAACATGTTATTAAAAGAATTTCTAACACAAACAAGGTTGGTAATTCTAGAGTTTACAATTCTTTAAAAATATGTTTCTACAGTTTACTATTTCTGGTAAAACTGTTAAAGTTTGGATAATTACAATTTACATGCAAAGAAAGTCAGAATAGAATATTTAAATATACATATATAACACTGGGTTTTAAAAACCAAAATAAAAAACTTTTCTGTGTTAAATAAATAATTTTTTTTGTTATGAAAATATAAATACTATAATTTAGCTTCTTACTTTTCTGTTTTTAAACAAACTAATTCAAAAATCAAGAAATAATTGTACCAAATACTACTGTAAAAAATGGGTAAGTTTGTTTAAATAAACTGTTAAAAACTTACTTTATAGAACTAAGTGGAGGCTTGAAAGAAACTGAAGATCTTGCTGAAATATAAGTCAAAAAACGGTTTTGGCGAAAAGAAAACAAATTTTCAAATAATATATCCTCTGAACAATATGAATGAACTAATTAGAAGCACTGCTAGCATTTATCCTTAAAATACATAAATTAATATAGGTTACTTGTGGTGAGTAGAAACAAATGTAAATATATATAAATTTCAGTTCACTGCTGTAAGAAGGCTTTGTTTCAACCATTATCCTTCTAGTTCAGTTATTTGTGGTAAATCCATTAAATCTTACAAAGAAAGCGATTACCAGTACATTGTTGTTTTTCTTAAATGAAGGATAAATTATTTAAAAACCTCAAATTTTACAACAGTCAATACTAGTGTAAAATTAATAACTTTAAACATAGTTCAAGTCACACAATATTTTTAAAATTGTATCTGTCTTCGAAATTTAATTTGATTAAATTCTCTTCTATATAATTTAAAAGACAGGCTAAACATAAACCCACATAATATTTGGTTACTTCAATAAATTCGATATATGTGTAGTTCCTTACACACACACTCTATAAAAGATAAAAGTAACAAACTGAGGAAATACATGTATACTGTGTTTATGAATCAACGTAACTAAAATACATGTATACTGTGTTTATGAATCAACGTAACTAAAATACATGTATACTGTGTTTATGAATCCAAGCAAACTTGGAATAGATTTACACTGTAGTTATGGGCCCAAACAGATCTAAAATACATGTATACTGTGTTTATGAATCAATTAATCGAAAATAGATGTATACTGTGTTTATGAATCAATTAATCGAAAATACATGTATACTGTGTTTATGAATCAATTAATCGAAAATACATGTATACTGTGTTATGAATCCAAGCAGACTTGGAATAGATTTACACTGTAGTTATGGGCCCAAACAGATCTAGAATACATGTATACTGTGTTTATGAACCCATTTAACTAAAATACATGTATACTGTGTTTATGAATCAATTAAACTAAAATACATGTATACTGTGTTTATGAATCCAAGCAGACCTGGAATACATTTACACTGTAGTTATGGGCCCAAACAGATCTAGAATACATGTATACTGTGTTTATGAATCAACGTAACAAAAATAGATGTATACTGTGTTTATGAATCAATTAATCTAAAATACATGTATAATGTGTTTATGAATCCAAGCAGACCTGGAATACATTTACACTGTAGTTATGGGCCCAAACAGATCTAGAATACATGTATACTGTGTTTATGGACCCAAGTAGATCTAGAATACATGTATATTGTGTTTATGAACCAAGTAGCTCTAAAATACATGTGTAACAGGAGCAACCTATCATAAAAATTATATCTTACATAAAATAAATTAAGCAATTTTTATCTATACTGCAGCTTCAGAATCTTTATAGTACCTCAAAATAAGACAGCAAAGCAAACTCTCATGAAGTTTGTGCATTACCAGTAGTATTAGGTTCCACAAGTACCTCAAGATAAGAAAACTAACAACCTTTTTAATGAAACTTGTAATTCACATGTTTTGAAGTATCACATTCCTTTAGCATCTCAAGATAAAACATAGACATTGTTTCTCCAATGAATCTTTTATTCCTTACCTGAAACATCAGGTTTCTAAACTGATTTGTTTTTTGTAGTTCAAGAAAAAAATATAAATAGTAACAACTATTCATCTAACTCATGACTCACAGTAAATCCATTAAATCTCACAAAAAGGAAAGATTAACAGTACATCAATTATATTTTGTAAACCTCAATACTACTGTAAAATTAAACTTCTAAAAACAGTTCAAATGATATAGCTTCTTTGTTAAAGTATAAAGAAATAGCTTCTTAATGAATCTTGTAATCCTTACCTGAAATATCAGGTTCTTTTAGCACCTCAATGTATGCCACTGGAACAATCCCTCTGCTGTTCCCAATTCTACCTTCATACCAATTTTGGTCTACTCTTCGAATCAACAGCAATTCTTGTCCCTAATATTCCAAGAGTTAAATTAAGAAAATAATGCTATTGGGAAAGACAAAGATCACATCATGAACTACAGTATTTTAACACTTAGATAAAATAAAACCTTAAGCTATTGTTCTGTAAAAAGAATCAAGTAGTTACATAGATATAATGGCACACCAACATTTACTAAAGTACACATATATGAGACAACTGATGAAATGAGCCAGTGTACTTCTACTAAGATACAGATTTGATATAGAATTAGGGTATGTTTGTCAATCGTGTGTTTGTATGCCAAGATACACCTTTTAGCTAGATCAGTTATCATGTGTCAGTATACCAAAATATATCTTTTAGTAAAGTTTATTTAAATCAGTTAGCATGTTCCTTTATATCAAGAGATCTTTAAAAATGGTTTGTTTTTTTTATCAGTTTTCATGTGTCTGTTTACCAGAAGAAATATTTTGTAAGTGATTTTTATTTTACGTATGCTACATAAAGCTAATATGTTAATTTTAGAGTCTCCTGCTTGTTTATTTTGTTGAAGTAATTACTTTAACAGTTCCTTTTTTTTAATTATTAAAACTCCTGTCTGTAATTTTAAACTATTCAGTTTTATGATGGACCTCATCCCAGCACAATTATACAAATTAGTGAGGAGGTCTTTTTAAACAACCGTACATAATTTATAAAAGAAGAAGTACTTAGGTAGTTTTTTATAAATAACATACAGTAAGATAAATACTATATATATATATATATATTATTTTTAACACACACACGTATATAAGACATTTTATTGCAAAGTTTCTTTTAAAATAGTGGGCCAGTACATGATGTAATTAGGTCTGTGAATGTGTTATTGCTAATAAGTATGTGTAAAATCTGGCTTTAAGATGAACTGTTATGAGGGTGTTATGCAACAGCGCAGTACAAAGCTATGTCATACAGTATGTTTTTTATTTAATTATAATTTGTAAATTTACTTACAAAATCTATTTTAGGCTCAGAAATATTTAATGGTATCATGCTTTATGATTAAGTATTTGTGTTTCAAATACAGTGTATTGAGGGTTGAGTATGTTTTACTCAAACAACTTTAAATGTGGAAATCAATATGGAAATCAACACAGCCAATATAAAGTCACGGTGGAATGGTATGTATCAGAACTACAGTTTAACATTGTCATTATTTCAATGTAGTGTAATGCCACCAAAAATTGTTCTCTTTGGAATGGATATATAACAGCCCTTTCTGACATAAAATATTCATATACTCAGATCATAAAGATGTGTTCAGCTCTGGGATTTAGAATTTTCAATATGGTGATATCCCTTGTGCTTAATGACATTGGAAAACAAAGGAATATGGACCTTAGGGCACCAGGACCATCCAGAAAGAGATGTGGTAGCAAAGTGCAGCATTTTGTAATAGATGAGAATTGACATACACAAAGGCAAAAGCATGCAACAAAATTAAGAAGGATCTCATATAGAAACAAGGCCATAGGGGTATGGTTTCTTATACCTTCCATTCAACTGTCATACACATACACTCCAGCAACTGAAGAATGGAACAGGTTTTCATAATAATCCACACAATGGCACACAGACCAAGTTACTGCATGCAGTACCAAAGGATTTCCGAGTGACTGGATTGTTGAAGCAGGTGCTGGAAAACTGTCATCCTTGTTCACTTGCTGGATTATTTAAAGAAGGCAGGGAGAGCTGATGAACTTTAGATATGACAGCCTATATGACAAAACTTTTTGCAACATAAACTACACTGTAGGGTTATTTTCTAGATACACGACTGTCAGACTGAGCATGTCTGGGCATGGTGACATTGACTGGAACAATGTGGTTAGGCTCCAAAATTGTTTTAAGTTAACATACTCAGCCTTCTCTACAGAGTTGAGTAGGTTAAAGTAAAACAATTTTGTGCATAAGACTACATGAGTCATTAATTTTTAGGACTGAAAATATGTCACTGGGCTAAAAGAGTTAATTATTTGATTCAGCATTTTTGTACAGCTATACAAAGGGCTATCTGTATTTTAAATGTCCTTAATTTTGAGCTGATAAACTATATGGAGGCATCTAGTAAAAACACCCACCACCAACTCTTGAGCTACTTTTATTTGATCACATAGTCACTGCAGTCCTAAAAAATGTGTAGAAAGTTTTTGTGGCAATGAACATGAGTTATGAAACCTCAAATTAAAAATCTGGGTACATGAACTATTAGGCCATGCCAAACCCAAGAAAGTTTGTTTTCCTAAAGTAAAAATAACTCTCATCTCATAAACCATCCATTTTTGTCATGATTATTATATTATGGGTTAATACAGAAATAACAGCACTCAGAAAGATAGATAATGACCAAAATAGCCCATGACTCAAATCTAAGTTTGAGTTCTAATATAGCATTATTATATTAAGCTTAAAACAGCCTAATCAAAAACTAATAGACTGGGAATATAGTAACAATAATAGGATTGCTATGAATAATAGTTCCAAAGTATATATGTTACATTGTAAAATATATGTATATTCCATTTAACTCAAATGGATAGTTTACAATACATACAAATACTGGTATATAAAAAAAGTTATTAATATACAGTCAAATGGTTCAAAAGTTAACTAAGAGAGGTTTTGAACAATAACAAAATATACTTCTAAAGTAAAGATGAATACATAACATACATACAAAATATTAAAACACATGTATGTCAAAGATATACACATATGTTAAAGATCAAGATATGATGAATTTCGATAGGTATGAACATCTAGGCATTAATTATCATTGACTAGAGATTTTGTCTTGTTATAATTTATATTTTATAGTACTTAATAAATGCACATACCTTGTATAGTGGAAGTTCCAATGGTGTCTGAGCATAGAAATTATACTTAGCTCGACCTTGTCCCTCACCAGTCATCTTGGGAGTTTGGATATGAGCTATTTCTTGTGGTATCAGCTAGAAAAAAAAACAATCAGTTGAAAAAAATATATCAAACAGGCTAGAAATGTCTTGTCAAAGCAATATTTTCACTAAATGATACAGTGTAAGCCCTGGTATCTTCAATGCTAACATTTTGTCTGAATTGATTATGATAATACACTGTCCTTAAAATGTGCACACATCATACTATCTAATGTGCATGCAAGCACACTTCATCTCAACAGATGTAAATATACTTTATTAGGCATTTTGTGCAACGACATATTAAAAACTAATCAAAGTTTATTTATTGATAGTATTAAGTACAGTAAAGTTTGGCCCTAACTAAACAAAAGCAAAAAATGTATATAAGTTACAATGTTAATTTATATCTTTATCATATATAAGCCATATTTAACCAATGTTAGGCCTAAAATAAGTGGACTTAAAGTTTTTGGTATCTGCAATTAGAATTTTTTGTATTATTCTAGAAATCTTGTATTTAAAGAAGTACTGTTACAATAAAGATACTATTTTGACCACAGATGTATTGCAGGTCTCTGCTACTATGATATAATGGGCTTGAGTTTCATCATGATAAAACAAATTTATTAAAATTTCTGTACTTCCTTTTTAGTCAACATGTACAATTTAAGTTAAATGAAAAGAAATTATGTCAAAAATTATCTAATTTATCAGCTACACTCCTCCATTTTGCACTGTACATAAAAAAGCTCACCTCCCATTATTTTTAAGTTTTATGACGTCAATAATAATGAAACCATCTTTTGACATACATAATAAAAAGAGCCAAGAAAAGCTTCTTAAATATTTCTGTAATATTTTTTTCAGGTTCTATCAGTATTGTGGTTGAACAGGGTAATCATTCTGACTGTCATAGACATCAGAAGTCTGAAACTTTACTTTCAAGCTCAAGTGATAAATTTTACATTTACATGTATAACAAATTACTTTTAAACCTTAACAAGTGAGTGTAGAAAGAGCAACATATATTAAGTGTGTACAGGCCTATTTGCAGAACCCTTCAGTAACACAGCAGTATGTCTATAGAGTTCTAATGCTAGAAGTTGGCACAGCACAGACAGTCCATTGTGTAGCTTTGTGCTTAACTATAAACAAATAAACTATTTGCAGAATCTAATATAGACATATGACAAAAACTAAGTATTGTGTTGGCCTCTTGTGCATCACTTATGACAATGTACTTTTAATCTTTATTAAAATGAAAACAACCAGCTTTTGTTAATGACAAGTAAAGTGTACTGTATAGTTACTCTTATTTAACACTTCAGCAAAACAGTACTTCTGTTCACTTTAGTTTCTAAGGTAATTTAAGAAATTATATTAAAGAGGAACTTCAAATAGTACACAATAACATGAATAGCATTAAGTGAAAAAACCCTATAAATGGAAAAAGCTATTAGAATAATTAAAATTATAGAAACTAGTTTTGACACATTTGTGTAGCTTCTTCACAGTCTCATGTTGTTTCCTGGCAGGAAACTGGTCAAAAACGCCTTTGTGAACCCAGAATTTTGAACTTCCTTAAGAACTCAGGTAGTCAGAAAGTTGTTTTAGCTTGATTTTTTTCCTTACAGCCTATAGAATCTGCCACCTAGTAATGCTTGAACATGAAATGAAAAAATATTTGCTATTTTCAAAAAAACTCCATTTTCACAAAGGTTCATTAAAAACTGCCATCTTTGGGCAAGGGAAATCTTGTACCACAAACAAAAGTCCATAAACAATTTTCACACATTGGGAATTCAAGATTCAGACAATTAGAAAAATAACTATGGTATGTGCAACAACCACTTCTTTATCACAGAACACAATGTTAACTAAAAGTACTCTCCTCACAACAAGAACACTACTTTCACTAGGACTGTTCATAAGGGTTTGATTATATTTATATTTAATGTAATTTTTCTGAGAAACTGGAGTTCTTAAAATAAAACTATTATTTTTTCAATTAAGGGTAGCACTTTTAATATATAAAACAATACAATTTATATCAGTAAAATTTATGAAAAGTTTGAGCTCTGTACATTGAATCATTTTGATGCAATGAGTTGCATATGACTAAAGAGCACAATCGAAACACTTTTCCTGTGCAGTACTTCCCAGAAAAAAAAATACTTTTTTTTAGAAAATGTTCATTTCTTTACAATTCTTAATAATGAGGTATGAATACTAAGATTACTAACTACTAGAATAAGCAGCCACCTGTTGGGTGGCATTTCTGCTAGTTTAGTTAAAACTGGAAAAAGTGTTGACACAAGAGTTTCTGAACATAAAAAAAAAAGACACTATGCATGGAAACATAAACATCTACTTTTTTTCTTATGAAGGATTCTGGCCATTAGCTTGATTGGAAATAAACAAGAATTTTGTACAAAATAAATAGCTATATAAAAGAATAATCATCAACAGTTACTGAATCAAAAGCTTGCCTAATTTCAACACCTCCTAAAATCACTTCAACCTAAACAGCTTTTGAAGTCTCCTGCATCCTTAAGAAAATTTGAAGTTCTGGGATCACCATTTTTCTTGCCAGAAAACAATGTGAGAATGAAGAGGATATGTGAATGAGTCAAATCTATCTTCTCTAATTTCAAGTTTTCTAATATGAACTTCTCTGAAAGTCTCTGAAATACACTAATAATGTTTTGTAACTTCTATGACTGGATGATGGGCAAAAGCATGTTATACATCATGCATAATGTTTCGTTTCACATGCTATGAGCAGTTGAGAATTGTTAATTTTATAAAATATGTTGGTAAAGAAAGGAAAAGGTCATTTTTTTTACAGTGCAGCCATATGTTAAAATTGTCTCTCATGAACAAGTAAAACGCAATGAAAGAAATAACCTACCTCAACATAATTGACAGGAAATATTCCAACCATTCCGTGATGTTCACCCAAGTACCAATTTTTGTCTATTTTCTTATTTATGAAAACGAAGTCTCCCTTCTTCAAGGTGAGCTCTCTGTTGAGAACATAACATAAAACACTGAAATAGTTTTAAATCACTTCAAAACAAGTGACTTTTTCCTATTAAATGGTTAAATAAATTTTCAGTAAACGGAAATATATATGATCATGTTAAAGTTAAAAATATTCATTCAAAAATAATGAATTACAGATTTTTGAATTTTACATCAGATATTGTGTTAAACTAGTACTTTTTCTCTATAAATGAAAAGAACAAAACCCCAATAAAACACTCGTACAGATTGACCAGTTTGAAATGTAATAATTATTTATGATGAAAGCAAATTACATCTAGAAATAAAATGCTTCCTGAAAACTGAATACTAAATATATATGACTGTTACCTTACAGTATCTGATAGTCAGCATAAACTGACATACAAGAATAAAAACTTTGTGTTTTACTACAAGAGTCTACTTAAGACATTCTTTACCTAAAAGTTTTGTTTCTAATAAGGTATTATTAAATTGCTTTGAAATTTTATTCAAAAACTTTTAGTAACATTTTCCATGGGGCACCTATTCTTCACATTTAATTAAGAAAATCAAACTTATTTGTAAAGTTATAAACTGTGTAAACCATTCCAACTAAACCACATGAAAAGTTTCCATAGTAATTTTTCATAACTTTAAATTATCAGATTCTCATATAAGATATGCCCCAAGATATTAGGTTTCATAATTACAACACAAAAAAGTCATGGTATTTTAAGCTAATATTGGTGCCCTAGAACTAATTATTACCAATTCTTTTAAGACTCAAAAGAGTTTTTACTGAATGTTGTAATTACAAAATAATATTGATGTGCAAAGTCAATTGTTACCAATTCCCTTTATAACTGATAAACTGTAAAAGTTTTTACTTAAACAAAAATCTCTGACAAATAAATTATATCTTTAACTGGCTTATATGACATGATTTATCTTATTGTGATTTTATAAAAAGGATATTCTTATTTCTGTGAATTACAATAGACAGTGCTGTAAATTTTCCTAGAACTTTCTTTTGGCTCAAGCCCAAAATTGCCGATTGTCTTACTTAACTGGCTAAACTGTTAAAGTTTTACTAGCTCTATGTTACAGCATTAGAATCCTAAACTACCAAGTATCTGTATATTAAAGCACGTATAAGAATCTAATTCTTTACTTAGAAGATTTTATTTCACACTCAAGACAAAGACTTGTGGATAATAAAGTTCTCATCAACCCCAGATATAAAAAATTTGTTTGAAATTACTGTTTAAGCACCATCTATCTTACTACTGAACTTTAGCTGTCTGAGACACAAAATTTTTACTAAATATCAAATAATATTGGTTCTTTGCAAAAGTTTACTTTTATTGTGCTCAAAATGAAATTTTACATTTTTTTAATTAAAATGAAGTTCAAACAGGCAGTTATCTTTGAAATACTGAAAGCCTTTTCTTGTTCAGTTTAAACTCATGCTGTCAGCAAAAGATGCAACTTCAGGCCATAAAATCCAGAACCAGAAAAATAATTAAAAGAACTAGATTTGAAGAAGAATGAATGGAGCCAACCAGCCTTAAAAAATTGCTGGATCTGAAGGGTACTCAAAAGTAAGACAATCTTCTCAGCAGGGTGCCTTTTTGCCCATAATGCCCTTTAATTAAGGAAAAGGGTCAGGTTTGCGAGTGGTAACAGTGTACTGTACCTGTAGAACCAACAATTAGATGCAAGAGATGACATAAGTAGGTAAGAGAAATGCTATGCCCTGCTTCTATAATGAATCAGCCCAGTCACATATCATGAGCTGACATACTTTTCATCCTTCTTGAAAAAGGCCAGTGAGTCACACAACTGGCCAAGTCAGTGAGAGCTCAGAAAGAACTAAAGATAGACCCAAACATTCTCAAATATGGGTTCTACAACTTAAAGACAGCGCAGTAGAACAAAACGGAAAAAACCCAAAAAACATAGATGATTCCCATCCTAGTTGAAGTTAAAACATCTTATGACAACAGTAGTCTAATTTCCAATACCTATAAATTCCAGGCAAGGATGTGCACATGGTGGTGGGAAAGGTACCTACCAAATGACATCCTCTGTCTACTTCCAGAAGAACACATCCTCAAGAAGATCTAGCAGAAAAGATGGAACTTTGTCTAGGACAAATTTAGAGCTGTTGTGACATTTGAGAGTCCAAACTGGATGAATATATACACAGAGTCTTAACTTATAAGTATTGATCATGATATTTTTAAATATTTAAATAATCAAATAGTTTGTCAACCTCAAACACCCAAAAAATTGTGAACAGGGATGTTGAGTGATATAGAAATGCATGGGTTGCCTTAGTCAAATGTATAGGTTATGAAATATATTAAGAGTCATGACTGAACAAACTGATTTACTGATACTTCATACATAGAAAGAGACTGTATTTTGTGATTGTATCTTTCTTGCTTTGTATTGTGTTTGTTTTGAAATCATTATTATTTATAATCCCAGACACTCTATAAAGGTTTAACTGTGTGTTGGGTAGAATATACAAAAACTCACCAGATCCAGATTACATCAGCCTTGGAGATTAACCACAGGTGGTAAAAGGAATCCTAAAACTGAAGATACAGGGAAAGATGATAGAGCAAACATGTTGGAAAAGGTTCAAATGGAAGAAAAGTCAGGCAGCTGAAGACCAGACTAAATCCCAGTAAAGAAAAGGCTTGAAACTTCCAGATGCAAAATTGAACAAGAACTAGAAGAGCCAAAATTTGAAGATGATGATAAATAGAAACTGAAGAATCCAGTGAATCCAAGAAACATGAAAATGAGGGTTCATAGATGAACAAAAATTTGAGATGACCCCCCAAATGTCCAGATAGAGGAGTCACCCAGAACAGTGAGTGAATGAGTGAGTCATAAAGACCCAACTTGTTTATATCAATGCTAAGTCACAAAAAAAGTTTGAGCAGATGTAGCAAGAGTCAAAGAGCATTACAAACAGGACTCTGGAAGTGAATGATGACTAGAAGCAAAACAAGATGCTAAAACCCTAATCAACTCCTAATGACAAGCTTCTTCTGAATGGGAAACAAGTTAAAGTAAAATATCTGCAAACTCAAAATTTATTTATTTTTAATTGAGGTTAGCTGATTAATAGGCAAGGACCTTGCAACATAGTCCCATGGCCCTTTTATCAAAGTAACATGAGAACCATGTGGTAATAGAAACAATATCATTGAGACCCATAAGCATGGAAGACAAGAAAGTAGATATTTGATCCTGGATAAAAATAATCAGAACAAGAATAGCTAATAATGGTGCAGAAAAAAAAAGTCTCAAAATAAGACAAATAACAGTGTGTAGGGCAGAAAACTAATAATGAATCAAAGTAAAAAAATCACTTAGAAGACTCTTCTCTTTAATAACCAAACTGAGGGTCAAAAACTGTAGAAGAAATAGAAGGAGGAAAATATGAAATGTACGGATATAGAGATAGTTTTGATAAAACAATATCTGCAATTCCAATATCAGGAAAAGGTGGAAGAAATAAAAGATTGAAATATTAAAACATCTCACATGACAAAAGCATCCTCAGATGTAAAGGAAATAGAATCAATACTGAAAATAAAACTTACCTGAAAAAAATAAAAAAAAAGGAGACCAACAGAAGTGTCATCAGGATTAGGGTTAACAGACACATCCAGCTCTGCGGACTCTGAAGGCAATTAGGTCCGAGCAAAACAAAACAAAAATTATGAGTGTTTATAAATGAAGTAAGAGTTCATATGATCATGATACCAACCAGGAGTATCATTAAATATTGGCACGAATACATTTATCAGGGCTGACATGGCAACTACACATTTACCCTACATGTTAAAGACAAATTCCACAAGTAAGACCTATAACTAAGTTATAGAAATTCCACTAATAGCTGAAATATTTGCATCAGAGAGAGAACATTGTACTGGAGTTAACAGCATGAGTCTCAACAAAAAAAATCTAAATTATGATGGGAAAGCAGAGCTTATGTGAGATCCATGATGCTTGTGCAATAAGTCACATGGAAGGTAATACTATGTCTAAGTGAAAAAAAACATTTGAAAACTTTGAGTAATGAAGTTAACAGCATGAGTGCAAACACAACAAGAAAAACTTTTAGTATTTCAAGGGTAAGACTACCTGATTTAAAAATTAATTTAATCTGAAACTATTCTGAAATCTTGCCAGCTTCAAGTTATAAGTTTCAAAACTTAGTTGATTTTGCTTGAAAACTGTGTAACTGATGAACTAATTTATCACATTTTTTTCTCTTACTTAGCTGTCTGTGCCTTGAAATTGTATAATGCTCGAGCCATAGTTCGAAGTTCAGGAGATATTGGCAAGGGAGATGCTGGAGGACCAAATGGATCTTCATAACGATTTAATGGGATTGGAGATTTCTGGGAAGGACTACAGAAAATATACAAAACATTCCACTACATAAACCCTTCTTGATAATTTATCAGATCTTATAAATAACAGTTAAATACTGATCATTCCTACTATTTCATTCATTTCATACACTCATCTGGATAGTTTGCTAGAAAAAATGTACAATAATGTAAAATAACAATACTAAATAAAAAGTTGACTTATATTTTGTAAATCTTCCTGTTGAAGAAACTTCCCTTTGAAGATAGTTACTCATATTATTTTTACACATGAGAAATTTGGAATATCAAATAAGGAACAGAATAAAACTTACATATCTAGCATAGTTTTCTATCACTCCTTTGATTGTTGATGTTGGGAATCAATTTCCAAAAGCGTAACAATTTCATCGTCAAGAGACCAAAACCATATAAAAACTACGACTCTCTTTCCTTTTAATTAATTTTATTTTTTCATCATTTTTTTTTTCAGTGTTGAAAATCATGTGTTTTGTAGATTTGCTAGATGTAAATATTTTGCAAATATACTGATTAATAAAGGTTTATAAATTGGTTTTATCATACCACACAAAAGTTGGTGGTGTCAAAAGAGTAAATAAAAGCTATTTTTTTAGGTTGCTACAACGTTCATATTTGAGTTTAATGAACATTTTTTCAAAAAGTTAAAGATTTAGTGTGGATGTTCTGCTTGGTCTAGTTGTAATCAAAGTGTTCAATGTTATGAGAAAAGCTAGATGTGATCATATTATGCCTTTGAAGTATACTTGCCATATTTCAATAATAACTTTAAAATATTTGTTTCACTGTAGAGTATATGTGGATGAATTGTAAATACTTTTTTGATACACCTAGATATACATAAATGAATGTAAAAATATTAATATAGTTTATTTATAGTATTCTATATGTAACTTAAAATATTTTACAGAAATACTTCAAACAGAATTGAATTGGTGTGTTTGTTTATTGTTAAGCACAAAACTACATAATGGGCTATCTGTGCTGTGCTCACAATGGGTGTCAAAACCCGATTTTTAGCATTATAAGTCTACAGACTTGCCACTGAGTGTTAAAACAGAATTGTTAAAAATCTTATAGTTGTAGTCACCAGAACTTCTATAAAATACTAGTATGGAAAACATTGTAAAGAAACATTACAGAATTAAATATCCACTGATTAGCTTGTATAAAAGCTACATAAGCTTTCTTCTCTCTCTTCAAAATAAAACACCAATGCTTCTGAAACTTACTATTTTTGCAGTACTACACATTGACCCTGCATTAGTCATCTGTAAAAATTTTCCATAGTCACTCTTCTGGGGTCCAAGCGGACCCCATCATAAAAAGTGAATTCTAAAATATCTAAATAATAATAAATAACAATGAACTATTACTTTGGAAACAAAACACACTAACACTAATCTTTTCCCTTATTAATCGATAAATTAATATTGAATATTACAACTTGTTTCTTTTTTACCAAGTAAACTAAGTGTAACAATTTAACACAAACTAGCCGAATACTGAAGCTACTGAGAACAACAAACATGTAAGTGCTTCCAGCTGTAGGTGCCAATTTTTACAAAATGTTTGGGGGTCCATGAAGACCCTGGAAGTCTAATGCAGGGTTAAGGAATCCAGTTGTATAAAGAGTATATAACTGACTAAGATATATGATGAATTATCCAAACATAGATGAAGTACTTCTCAGAACTCAGTGCAGGAATATATTTTTCCACTTCATTTTAAAGAACAATCTATCAAATCTCAAAATTTCTTTAGTCTCTCACTGTCAGCGCTTGTATTCAAAGGAGAGTTATTTGGGTTAAACCATCAGATGGCTACACATTAGCTTAAATGATCGTGCTAAACTCAGGGATATAAACACTACAGCAGTAAGTGAATAAGTTTTATTTCTATAGGACCAGAAAACTTTTATAAAGGAAAGGAAGGAAACTACAGATCAAGAAATTATTGAATTTGATTTTATCATGTTTTTTGGTTAAAACTCAAAATTAGTACTTGACAGTCTCAACTTTCCTTCTTTAGAAGTTAAAAAAATCAACAGTCCACTTTCTTTACCAAATGTGCTACACTAGAACTACAGAATGAGATAAACTCACATAAAGTTGTCACTATGACGACGCTGTTCCATTTCTTCCAGCTGATGAAGTTGTTTTTTGTATCTTTCCTCTTCATAGAATTTTCTCATCTAAAAAAACAGAAAACTCCCAAGTAAACTTAGCTAGATACCTTCACAACTGTTCATTAAACACAGATTCAGCAAATGCCATACACGTAAACAAAGACTCAGCATGTAAGTATGCAGAAACAATTGTACTAATTCAAAATATTGCACTTTATTACACACCATGACATCCTATGGCACACTGGGGTAGAAACATTTTGATGGGGTGGGAGTGCATTCCTTACAGTCAGTTAGGGGACAGTTAGAGAACTGTAAGCTACCTGAGCTACCAGTGATATTTATACAGTAAAATGGGCATGTAGCATGTTAGGAAATTAATACATTCTAAAAACAAGTGGTGATTATGTGATAAAATGAGATTCAAATTGCACCTTATAAATTAAGACAGCAAACTAATCTTCACTGCTGAAAAGTTCAATTTAAATCAAACTTATTATAAATAACATAGTTTAGAAGATTAATTTTACATTATAATTACCAAAATATGTCTTATAAGATATCATTTAACCCTAAATGCATGGGTTGGGGTCAAAGAGCACAAGCCATGACCTTTTAGAGAGTGCCATTCAGTCTGGTATATTTCTTTTTATGTCAGAGTTATCAACTATTCATTTTACCCTATACTGCTGATTTAGTAACAGTTCATGGTAGAAGAAAGTAAATAGTATACCATACATAATATGAGGGATATGGACAAACTGTAGATATACATTTCAGAGGTTCAAGAGGTTATTCTTTATATGAATTCTACCTTGGGAAATCTGGGAACTCTTGGTATATACAAGACTTGTCAGAGTCTAAGTCCAACTGAAATCTCCTATTCACAGACATATCTTGAGTACAAATACTTCTATAACACATCAGCATTTTTTTGTGTACAGAAGACTTGTATATTTTACTAAATGCCCGCTATACTTCATGTAAATACACTTAGTAAATTCAGAGTTATAGACAACATTCTTTTCCAAATTCGGGAATTGGTGCAATAGAATTGGGCAAAAAGTGAGAGAATATTACTACAGCACTAGCAGTCCTGAAAAATAAATTGTTGTTACTTATGGTAGTGGGTGGAAATAATCTCACTGTTATTTAATGCTTGTAACCCCTAGCTATGTTTTGGGTGAGGCAATGACCTCTCTGACCTCTCCATTACTATGCCACTTCCTAAACTGTGGGTTTCAACCACTAACGGGTCATAGAAGAAGTCACAATAAAACTAAAATCACAGCTTTATTTTAATATTGTTTCAAAAATAATTGGCCTTAAGTTAACAAATAAAACTCTCTAAATTGAGTACTGGTCCCAGGTGGATAATGAGTTGGGAAACTTGTGAACTCCTGAAATATATACGACTTGTATAGAAAACATTTCACCTTTCATGATTTATAAAACTTCTATCACACATGTTAATGTAAACAACACAGATAACTCACTGCATCTTCTTGTTTTCTCTGAAGCTCTTTTTCCTCAATATAATCTTTTTCCAAATTTCTTACAGGACTTCGGTAGTGGATATTTACTTCTGACTCCTGGTAACGATGAGCAGGAGCTGGAATAATAAAAGAGTGTGGTTAACAGAAAATTCTTTTCCTATTCACACTAACTTTTTTTGTCTCTGTAACCCTCCTTCCCCATTAGAAGAAGATTGATACCTCAAAGCTTTGGCCAACTGTCTATTTCTATAGAAAAACCATGTTCTGGTCAGTATGGTGCTAAATGCTTGCAAAGAATAGTGTCTGTGCTTTTTAATAAATGGTGGTAAGGGTAAAAAATTAATCATAATGTATAAATAAAATAAAATTTTGAGAACCTGTACATGTTGATATTGTTGAAATATGAGAAAATAAGATTTAATTGGTTTTACTATTCTGCTACCACATTGGATAATATTCTTTTGAAGACAATCTAAAATGTGAAAAATTAGAATTTTATTCTAACTATTACTTTAGTAAAGAGTGTTAAATTACAAAGCAATTTTCAGTCACAAAAATCAATTTTATGCATAACTGGCACCTGTGATAGATGTGCGTGTTTTGCAACATCATTTCTAAATGATTCAGAATTACCATATTCCTAAAACTATAAAGGTATCAAGTAGAATATAAGGGGTTTCATAATTAAACCCAATACATTCACATTTTTCCATAACAATCATCACACTACAGCTTAGTGAACACATTTTTAAATTCAGTGCAAACATACAGTCAAATAACTTTATAATATTTAACTTCCAATGTACAATGTCCCTTTCCAACTTTATGGAGCAGCTATTCTTCATTAAAAAACTTCACATCAAATTGTAGTGTTTCTTGTGCTGGAACTATTCTCAGCTAACAAAGCTTACAGTCTCCAGTCCTATTAAAGCTATTTCAGGATATACATTTATCGCACTGAAATGTTTCTCATTCTATTTGTGTTGTTGAAGCTCTCGATATGATGCTGCTGCTGCTGATTCCTCAAAACTCTTAGAATCTTTCCATTTATATGATTGTTTGTTTTGAATTTCGCACAAAGCTACACGAGGGCTATCTGCGCTAGCCGTCCCTAATTTAGCAGTGTAAGACTAGAGGGAAGGCATCACCGCCAACTCTTGGGCTACTCTTTTACCAACGAATAGTGGGATTGACCGTCACATTATAACGCCCCCACGGCTGAAAGGGCGAGCATGTTTGGTGTGATGGGATTCGAACCCGCGACCCTCAGATTGCGAATCGAGCGCCCTAACCACCTGGTCATGCCGGGCCTAAAAAAATCGAAAGTCCTTATATTTTCCGTTCAAAGAAGGTGGTTTGAATCTTATATCTCTGAATGATAAACTAACTATTTTTAGGGTTAGGTACTTCGAACGTGTATTATATAAATCTACTTATTCGCCCACTCGAATTACAATTGAAGCTCTTTTTAAGGGAGCATATCAGTGTTTCGACTTCTTTAAATATTTTTAATGGAACCATAAGAAAAGTTAGGAGATTTTATAGATTTGCGTTAAAAAGACGGTACGGTGTCGATATAAGAAGATGTATTGAAAATTAGTCTGTTAAAACACTTCTTCAAGGACCTATTTTCGTGAATTATTATTTACCAGATACTACAGGAAATCCATTTTGTTATTTTTCATGGTTGATAAATTTTGTCAGGTATTGTACACAAGTAACGAGAAAAATGTGAAAATATTAGGTTATTCTTGCCGCTACATTTACAAAATGATGAGCGATCTGCTGTGTCCACCGACGGGAATCAAACTCCTGATTTTAGCGTTGTAATAATGAGTATAAAAAACGTTTGAGCCGATTAGTGACTCTGGCTACAACACAGTTTAGGCACGTTTTCTTGGATTAACCTTTCGCGACGAAATTGTAGTTAACTATGGACTAAAACCTTGTATGCACTTTGATAAAAAGATGATTAAATGTTCTATGTCACTAGTTTCCCAAAATACCAAAAGGCACATCAAAAACAATATACATAAGACGAAAAACGTGAGCCGGTCATACATTAGAGACCTATACATGCTTTACTTTACTTTCTTTACAGTGGATAAGGCGAATAAATGTAACTGAAAATGAATTGTATCCGCATTGCAAGACAGTGATTGGTAATTAATGGTATTTTAATTTTATTGCATATAAAGTGTTATTAAACATGATTTCTAAGTTATGTTAAGGTAAGAAGAACACATGAATTCTATGATTATTGGTATTTAAAGTCGCAAAAACGTAACTGCGTTTTAATTGAGGTTTGTCATATACATTTATTGGTGTGAGATGAAAAAAATTTGTATATTCCACAGCTTAAAATAATTAAAAAGGCAATGGTGCGTGGTTTCATCACTAGATAGAAATCAAAGGTTATATTTGAATATATGTGGACTAAACAAAAGAATGAAATAGAACTCTTAAAAAACTGGAACCAACAATGTCAATGTTTTATTATATAACAAAATATTGTGAAATGTCCGCCTTATGAATAGTATTTTTAAAGTTATATGTTGTATATTGAATGTCATATATTGCATATTGAATGTTATGTTGTATATTGAATGCTATATCTTGTATGTTGAATGCTATATGTTGTATACTGAATGTCATATGTTGTATATTGAATGCTATATGTTGAATATTGAATGTCATATGTTGTATATTATTTCATGGGAAAATGAATTAAGAAATCTACGAGGAAATTGGGAATTCTGAAATAAAGTTATCGTAGTTATCTTCTACTGAAAATATCTGTCGAGTCTATGAGGAAATTCTGAAAGAACTTTATAAAAATCGAGCTAAATATTGCGAAATTTAGGAACGAAATAAAAAATTAGTGAAACGTGTAACCCTTACACTTTATTTTATCAAATTAGGACAAATATCTAGAACACAAAAAAAACCTTATTAACAGCTTTGAAGAATAAAAAATGGCAAAGTAACTGAAAGTTCAAATTAAGTGAATTATATAATTATAGATTTTTACAATATATTATATTCAGAAGAATTGGAAAATCAAACTAATGATTTTCTTTAGTTAAATGCGTTACTACGTTGTATATTGAATGTCATATGTTGTATGATAAATGTTATATGTTGGATACTGAATGTTATGTTGTATATTGAATGCTATATCTTGTATGTTGAATGCTATATGTTGTATGTTGAATGCTATATCTTGTATGTTGAATGCTATATCTTGTATGTTGAATGCTATATGTTGTATGTTGCATGCTATATCTTGTAGGTTGAATGCTATATGTTGTATGTTGAATGCTATATCTTGTAGGTTGAATGCTATATGTTGTATGTTGAATACTATTTCTTGTAGGTTGAATGCTATATGTTGTATGTTGAATGCTATATCTTGTAGGTTGAATGCTACATGTTGTATATTGAATAGTTGTTGATTTTAGTCAGACCTGTAAAATGATTATTTGATCGTTTCAATATAAAAGTACCTATCTACATATGATTTTGAACAGAAACGTATTAAAACGCTGTCGATTATGTTAAATAATCACTGATTTTCAAAATATGAAAGACATGTTTTGAGGTTGATTTTTTTAACAGCAAACCTTTGGGAATCTCAGCAAATTACGGAACTTTGGGGACATTTTTGCATTAATTGGTATTAACTACCTACTTAGATCAAAACTAAAATCAACCCAGTAATGGGTATAGATATTTGGATATAATTTTCTTATGTTCTTACTTTAAAAGATTGTAATGCATTGTTTCATCAGTATGTTTTTAAAGCTTTGGTATCACGTTTTGCTAGTTGACCAGAAAAGAAACAGTAACTAGCTTTTTTTTTTCCAGCGAGTTTTCGTATATTTCAATAAATATATCGTGGTAATGTTTCTTCCTATTTTTGCCTGTAGGTAGAGGTAAGTATAAATATCAATTATGTTTTTCAAGTGTACAATTACAGTTTGAACACTCTTAGATATTCACAGAGAAATTTATAAATCATGTAAACAATATTAAAATAAAAATTCAAACGTTATAAAATACTTGTTTCCTAGTGGCTCAGCGGTAAGTTTGAGGGCTTATAACGCTAAAGAACTGTATTGTTTTGTGCTGAAGAACAAACAATAAAACATTTTTTCCACTGGATTAATACACGGGTTTTGACCTTATTTGTTCTGCTATATTATTACTTACTTGATATTAATTGTTACAAGAAACAAGCAAACAATAAAACCCTTTTTTTCCCACTGGACTGATACACGGGTCTTGGTCTTATTTATTCTGCTACGTTATGACTTACTTGATATTAATTGTTACAAGAAACAAACAAACAATAAAACCCGTTTTTTTCACTGGATTGATACACGGGTCTTGGTCTTATTTATTCTGCTACGTTATGACTTACTTGATATTAATTGTTACAAGAAACAAACAAACAATAAAACCCTTTTTTCCCACTAAATTGATACACGGGTCTTGGCCTTATTTATTTTGCTACGTTATGACTTGACACCAATTTTTACAAGAAATATACAAACAATCAATAAAACACTTTTTCCACTGGATTAATACATGGGCCTTGACCTTATTTGTTCTGCTGTATTATGACTTACTTGATATTAATTGTTACAAGAAACAAACAGACAATAAAACCCTTTTTTTCCGCTGGATTGATACACGGGTCTTGGTCTTATTTATTCTGCTACATTATGACTTGACTCAACACTCTTTCTACTGGATTGATACACGGGTCTTGGTCTTATTTATTCTGCTACATTATGACTTACTTGATACTAATGGGTACAAAGGGCTTTTGGTATTGATTTAACCTTCTATTGCACATTGTAACACACAGGTAACAAATCTACCTTTGTTGCTTAATACACGTACAAGTGTTTCATTTCTGTAGTCGAATACTCTTACTTCCAGGTCTAAATAAACCATAGAAATATTTTTGTTGTTTCCTCTGTTGAACAGTGCTACTTCTAGGTAACGTACTCATTTATATTTTAGAAAAACATATTTTTTTTTGTGAAATATATACCTATTTAAGTAAGAAATAAAAAAACAACAAAATATTTATGTAATTTATTTACAT